CACACACACACACACACACACACACAGAGAGAGAGAGAGAGAGAGAGAGAGAGAGAGAGAGAGAGAGAGAGAGAGAGATTAGAATTATAATGAAAAGTAGATGTCACTAACCCTCTTGGCTGCAGGTGATATGTTCTATAGGTTGTTGCAAGTAAGATACTGACAGCAAAAACACATGCCGTGCAATCTCATTTMAGGAAAAACTGAACTATCTCTTTAACAATTAATAAAACAACATAAGTAAAAAAGAATGAACGAATTCAGCAAATGTGAACCAAAAACGCAACTAGGCTATCCGATCCACTGTGGCTCGGAGTCTGAGATGAATTATTGATCAAACAGTTTCAAACAGTGTGTGGTGCTGTAGTTATAGTGAGTCTGAAATTCAATCAGAATTTAATCACGTTGGGTTTGAAAAGAGGTGCTGCCACCTCAGGACAGAAAAAAAGATCATACAAAAATAAAGTTATTCATAGCAATAATTTTGCAAACATTTGTTCATCTGGAGGGTTTATGAGCATTTAAACAAATTAAATGAAGAGGAAAAGATAAGCAAATGTTACAAGTTAAGCCTGCARTTAATTCAGCTTTCATGAAGCAGTTATTTAATAAAACCAATTTAATTAAAATGCAGGTTTTGTGACATTTAGAAGCTTGCAAAAATAATTCATGTTCAGTTCTACAAAAACCTGCTGGAAAACAACGACTCCCAAAKAACCTTAAGAGAACTCTACACATAAAAGGACATTTTTCTGAGGTTATTTTGTGAATTGTTCAGAGATCCTGAGAGATTTTCTTTAACAGCAAAATCGGGAGATTTTTTTTTTAAGGAAGGACATGAATATGCAACCTTTGGGAAACTTTACAGAACCTTTATGGATCCGTTTATAAGTCAGGAGGTGAATTTTGTGTTTGACAGCATAAAAATATAATATTTTCAATTTTCTTTGTATTTTTGCTCATATTTTTGCTCATTCTATACAATCTTTGCACAACTACTCCCACAATTTATTTAATTTACTGTAACAAACTGATTTTAGGCAGTTTTCTGGGATTTTTTTTCTACTTTTTGAATTAAAACCTGCCTGTGGACAAGGACACAGAGGGTCAAACACCTCACTGCTCTTATATTCTGTGAGGCAGCTGTTCACTTTGTTCTTTGGTACTATTTTACCCAAAGAAAGGCGCTAAATGTCCTTTGTCAGCTGTAAAACAAACAATCTGTCTCCGAAAGATTCTCTGAGGCAGACAACAAAGCCAGAGTTTCACCACGTCAGAAGTGATTCAGCTCAAAGTGCCCCCCCCGCCCCCCCCGACACACACAAACACAAAATTAAATGCACTTTGCCTTTATTTTTTACACGCTCGGTCCAAGCTGCAGTGTAATGTGGACAAAGAGGCACTCGGTTTAACATTCTGCTCCTCATCCCTGCTTTTTAATTGCCTGTAAAATGAGATGAAAATGAAAGTTGACATCTTTAAGCACCTTGAACAGCTCCAGCAGAATGTCAAAGACTCAAAGAAAGARAGAGAGGGGAGGTTTTTACTACAGTGTGTGTCTTTCCATCAGGTAAACACCAAAAGGAAACATTTTTTGTAATATATTTCATATAAATATATATTTAAAGATTAATGCATGTGACAAAGATGATGGATAAATCCTCACAAGCAGATAAACTGATTCACTCCTGATGTGGC